TATGTACAATCGAGTAAGTGTGATGTATTGAGTAAGTAATCATCACACGTGCAACGTGTACGTCTTTGTATGGCTCGAGAAATTATTCTTGATAGAATGAGTTCGTACCCGTGTAACATTCCGCGAAATAAAAGTCGCGAGCTGAGATTGGTAAAAGGTGAGTTATCAAAACTTTTAAGGCTCATCGACTGTGTGTAACAAACTGGGTCCCAAACTGGTGCTTCGCAAGTCGTGAAGAAATTCGACTTCGCAAAGCAATCACAAGCTCTGATTGTTATGGGTCTGCGCGTAAATCATGATAGCGCGGCGGCTACCTGAAACACTTAAAAAAAATGTGAGATATATCAAAATTTAAACGAAGTTTCTTTGCAGATTTATGTCGGTAACTTCTGTTTTATGTCAGAAGAATTTTAAAAAAGGTCGGGCTTATCAAAACAATCAGCTTTTATATATATTAAGAAATTAAGTACAGCCAAACTTTCTAACAGTTTACTGGTATAGTAAACCACGCGGGATTCTGGGGGAACAAGATAAAGTATTTAAACCACGAGGCGGCTCCGAGTGGTTTGCAAACTTTTCGTGTGTAAAGTTTGTCAGGGAGAGTGGCAATTTTATTCTCATTTTGTGATCAAGTTGCTGATTCTCATGAAAACCATAAAAAAGCGCGAGAAACCAATCATAGCGCCGGAAACTGAACTGATGAACTGCCGACGAGAGGAGCAAAGAGTGTATTTAATTTCTCAACGTCGTCAACGAATAAACGCAATGGCACCAAAAACTTGAACAGAAATTGTAAAGAAAACTGACGAGAAATAGCTATTTACAAGATGAAAGTACAAACTATAAAGTGCCAATGAAGAATTTTCAATTTGGAAGGAGAAAACGCGAACTTTGTGACCAGACTTGGTCTACCACTGCGATTGTGATTTGATAATCTGTAAAGAATGTTTATAAAATTTGCAAGCCAAGGAAGCAGTTTAAATACTTTGGGCAGAACTTAATATGTGCTTTACTCTCATAAAGGATTGATCTAAATAAGCGGAGCAAAATAAATTCCTCAAACCTGAGTTTTATGAGTTGGCCTTTGAACGCGATTTTTCTCGGCAAAAATTTGTTTGCAATATTTTAAAAAACTAAGGTGGTTCAACCAGTCGATTATTTTTAAACTGAGAGAAATTATTTTGGCAATTTACATCTCTTGTTTTAGACTAATACCCCATTCACACCACCAAAATATGTTTAGTTAAACTGGCTTTTACTAATCAAAATCACAAACAGAGAACTGAAATTAAAACTAAATTTTCCATAGGATTCAAAGAATCTCTAAATTGTACTACAATGTGCTACACGTGAAGTAGACAAACAACGGTTTGAGCAGCTTCTACAAAGAAAAAAATTTTCGATCGTGTTTAAGAAAACAGCTCTAAAACATGTTGATGGCTCATTTTGCAAGCCATTTTATAATAAGATTCACGCGGCCGAACCAAGAGCGAAATAGCTCACAAGGTAACTGCGTAGCAAAAATGCACGAAAGGTCAAATCCAATGAAATCTGTAAAACCTCAAACATGGTAAATCAGCTGCCAATATACGAATAAAATACAGCCAAATGGCAGCCAAACAGTGACCTGTAAATCAAGTAAAGAACTGAGATCTCGTACGCGGCGCGACTAAACATTTCCATAGCCATTGTGGGGACTACTGCCGTCGTCGATTTTAAAACTTAAAAGCCATTTTCTTTCTAGTTTAATAGTCTTCCGAACGTTCGCTCTTTGAATGGAGAAGATGGGAAAAATGAAGGAAAAACCAGTTAGATCGTTTCAGTATGGCCCGACGACAGACGCCATTTTGAATCATATGCATAACCCCACGTACTATGGCAAAAATTTCGGCCATTGTACCGCCCCACAGATATTTGAATAGGAGAGAATAGCGCGAGTGAGGGGACAGAAGCAAACCTAGTGGGGCAGGCAGGGGATAACGCGTTTAATCTAAGTGTTAATGCATAAGTTAATTGTCAAACAGATCAGAATCGAGTGAGTGAATCTTCCATCCGTACCAAAACCTCATAGTATTACTGACGTCATACCATGAGGTTAAAAGAACTGGGAGAAAAGGAAATTTTAATTTAGACCCGCAGTAAGCATTGTCTGTGCCAGATGTTGCTTTAAATATCAAAACTTTCTTCATGAGGAGGCTTTCGTAAGAATTATATGCAGTATTTAGTCTGAAGATGAGAGTGATTTTCGCAGTAATTTCTCGCAGTAGGTTTAAATCTGATGAAAAAAAAAGGAGCAGTGAAAGACGTGTAGCTTTTCTCTTCAGAATTGCCTTTTCTCTCTTATTTCCTTTGTGATTTTCATATATTTCATATAAACTCCGTCCGTTCCGCCAGGAGATTGCAAGAAGCCAACCAATCTGTGCTCGACTCAGTTACAAATAGATACCGAAAGTCTCTCATCATAATGGCTCAATTATTCATATTTCTGAAAAGGTCAACGAGGTGTCTGCACTTGTTTTCACTCTGTTTTAAGTCTATATCAACAGCACCAGAAGAAATCAAATGAAGCCATCAATAAAAGTTTTCTAGTATTTTTTCCTTGTTGACGTTGCAGATTTCTGAACAGCAACAACTTAAAGAATTTGTCCTCCGATCAACTACCTGAATATTCATATTGGGTCAATCAGTTAAGATTTGAAAACCTGTAAGTTAATTAAAGGGGGTAAGTTTCTAAATAAACTGAGGAGCTGCGTCGATGGGAGAGTTTAACAGGGTAATTTGGTGTTATCAAATGAGTTGATAAATGGAATTCCATTCGCTCTGACGAAGGGCTAACGCTTGAAACGTCAGCGTTGAAACTCATTAAGGTGGCAAATTTACGTTTTTAACTCGGTTGATAATACCAAATTACTGTGTAAGTTAAGCAGTTTTGGATTTTTATTCCACTTTAGATGAACAAAATGCTTACACTAAAGGTCCCTTTTGCATTTTACAACACAACCTTTTCCAATACGGAGGCTGAAAATTAAAACCACTGAGTATTAAACTGAGAAAATCTACACTACTATTATAAGAACCATCCTTTATTTGGTAGGATTAAATATTTTTATTTGGAGAGGCATGTTCAATGTCAAGCAAGTGAAAATTAATTTTTTTTAAAAAAAAAGAATGAAAATTGCGACCTGAGTCTGAGAAAACGAATAAGTTCTTACCAACATTTCCTTTTGAACTTTGTTTCGGTATTTTTACTCCTCGAGCCATGTTTTTCTTCCCAACGTTGGTTGAGTCATCGGGCAACAATGTTGCACCCAAAACTGCTAATTTTAAATCAATTTAGTTCGTTCTTATTTTCAGAAATCTGATTCTTGTCGATGTAACTGTTATTGATGTAAAAATTCAAGTTTCAAATGTTCTCATAATATTATGAACTCAAATTTCGACCGTTATTAGAGAGCAAGATAATAAGATTCCAGAGGTTTCTTTTCGTTTCTTCATGTTAGTTAAACTTATATACATTGACTCATTTTTTCGCTGTTATTCTCAAAAGTCACTCAGATGAGCCTGAGGTCTCAGAAGCTCGACTTATAAGTAACGGTCAAAAGTTTAATGGCCAAAAATATTAACCGTAAACCCTCAAAAGATTTGTACTTACGACCGTCATGAAAGCAAATTCATGAGAGACGTGAACACATGCACCTCTTGTAGTTCGGACTTCGAACAGTTAATTAAGCCACTTAAAAGGGCCGTTAACGGCCACATATATTCAAGCATTTTGTTATTGACGCAATTATGCATGTTGTCGCGTCCTCCGTAGGTTCAAAACTGATTTCAAAAAGTCTTAGAGGTCATCCACGCCGTTAGAGGGCACATTGCATTTTAAGAAAAGACACAATAATTATGATTCTGAAATACATGTTTCGACAGTTTTTCAGACATCTCGCTTCAATCATTTCAGAGTATAAAAGTGAAAAAGTGCAAAAGTAAACGATTCAAAAATAAAAAAAAAATTAAACTTAAGATGACACAAACTGTTGAAGCATGTCTTTCAAAATCCAAAATGTTGTGTCGTCTTAAGATTCTAACGTATCCGCTGCCCTCCTGATGTTATTATCTTTTTACACAGAACCCTGGACTTCAACAAACTGGAGACTCTTCCTCCTGATATATTCCATCGTTTCAATTTATACGATCTGTAAGTAATTCATCTTCAAGCTTTAGACAGTTGACTGCCGCTGAGTTGGATTGATTTTCCATTTTCCATTTTTAGCGTTTTCTTTGGAAATGAAATTGAACTTAAAAATGCTAGTATAAATCTTCTACAACAAATGTTTAAGGACGGGGGCTTGACACCCAGACACCCACTCCAAACCCCCCCCCCTTCCCCCCGAAAACACTGACTTTCTCACCAGTTGGACGACTAATCGATAGTTTATAGCCCTCAAAGAGGCTGCTTTTTTCAGAAGAAGTTTAAAGATCACCCAAGGTTTCATTTCCATTTCCCACAGAATAGATATCTCAAAAAACAGGAATCATCAATTTCATGATTACCGTTTATTAATTAATGTATGTTTAGAACTGTCTTTGTTGAAAGTGTACTGTAAGTAGATTTCTAAAGCTTACCCTCAGAGACAGAACTGATTACACGGCTTGACAGACAGAAGCTAAGAAAAGAATTGTGCATCTTACAGGTGGCTGGGAAACAACAACATCAAAAAGTTACCTGAAAACTTGTTTGCGGGGCAGGATAAGCTAAAATATCTGTGAGTGGTACTAAATTGTTTAACTATGCGGCGAAAATTTTTTCATTCATACATATATGAAATTCGAATAAAACCTGAACTTAAGAAATGACCAACATTTCAGCATAGAAAGCTCGTTTCAGTTAGTCCACTTACACCACCCGAATATTCTGGTGGCACATTCACCTGTAACCAGCGGGCTTCAGTGTCAGTTACAATCTCTGATCAGGAGTCGATCACTAACTGAATGAACTATCAAAGGAGTAAGACACAATGCATCTATCACTTAATCGTCATTGTTGACCTTTGTCTTGTTTGAGTCGTCCTGGATCGCAGGAACGGTTGAAAGGCGAAGAAAATAACTTAAAAGGAAGAATTGATTTTACCCCGTTTGACCTTACTAAAATTCCAAACAACCCGAGCATGGGTTATACTGTAAGATCGTCCCTATGGAAGTAGTAATGAAATGGTGGTGGAAATGATGTATGAGTTAAAATTGACTTCATGACAAGATGAGTGCGATTTTGGTCAGAGTCAAATGAGATAAAATTGCCTTGTCCATTTAAACTGGATAGTCATGAAGAAAATTTGAACTGCAGTAAGTGACAAACTGAACCTCTTGCCTAGCCATTAATGAGGACATTGGCCTGTTTATCACAGAATTCTACTTCTTTGGCTCGACTTTCTGAAAATATTTTCTGCTGTGATCAATTCATAGTTAATTTCTAATTTGTTACACTGATAATTGTATAGTAGGTACACGAATCTATAACACAGTTCTGATCAGCTACAAAAGGTTGCATTTCTCATGGAACACGTTTGTAAATTTGAAACGCAAGGTTAAAATTACAAATGGGCTTTGATTGGCTTAAAAACAAGAGAAATCAACAAAAACAAATAAAAGAAAAAGTTTCTTTCGCAGAAGTCAGAAATAAGATGTGAGAGGAGAACGGCCGACGTGTTTGCACACAATAAGTTGGGTTTGCACGAACCTAGTCGCACTTAAAGTGCCACTCTCGCTAAGAGCGGTCCTCTCGACTTCCCG